AGGGGAGCTCAGCTATCCTATACCCTTGACCGAAGATCGGTACACTGAGATGGTCGTCCTCTTCCACCGAGCATGCAGATTCGGGAGGGATGCACATGGATCGTGAGAGAAGAAGGGGACACCCACCTAGCCAGCCAGAGCAGTCGAATCAACCCTGGCAATCAACGGGGTGACAGATGTTGCAGCCACATCGCCCTCACATCCATTCCTTAATTGGGAATGCGTAATTATTTGTATTCTGCCATATGTGGTATCACTTCTGGCAGTTAGCAACATCCCTAACGTCAATATATGCATAAAACTGCCCCCATGGAACAACTTAAAATACTAAAGTCAGTAAAAACAACACCTGTATTTCTCAATACAGGTGGCCAAACAGCATAACACTGAACTTCAGAACTTCAAGAGCTCCATCTTCACAGCCTCGCAAAATGACATCATGAGTGCCAGCTGATCCCGGAGGTGGCTATTGCACAAAGCAGGGTCTGCCACACGATCCTGAAGGGCCTGGAGTTCTCACTTCCTTTATTTGGGGAATGTCCAACATCCTGGACTGGATGTAGAGCCCTGGACAGACTGGTCGTACCCAGAGGCGATCCTGAACACACCTAGCAGCCAAGGCACACGGGGCTTTCAGTCACCTTACACTGTACCTGGAAGTCTACTGAAAGCCAGTGCAACCCCCACAACACAGGTATAACCTGCCTGTAGGGGCAGTAGCATTCTGTACCAACTCAGGTTTCCACCCAATCTTCAAAGGTAGTCTCATATGAGGCACGCTGCAGTAGTATACACTGATCTGGACAAACAGGAACTCTGTCTTGTTAGGGGCTCAGCCTCAGATGTTTCATCCCACCCAGGCCCCGATAGCTTCTGAGCATTAGGTCAAGACTTCCAGAGCATCTCCAGTTTGGCCTGGGGTGGCAACTTATAAACGATACTGTCAGCATCCCAATACCAACCTCACTTCAAATCAAAAGATAATGGTCCTAGTTGTCTCCTGAGAATGCTAAAAAATGGGGATGGAGGAGGTCTGATCCTTCTCCACGAGTGACTGTCCAGCAGGCCAACCTCTCCACAGGAAGTATTGGAGCCGTTGCAAAATGATGCCCCCGATCCCCAGTCCTCACTGGCCGTCCAGAAGGATGTCATGTTCAGTGGTCCTGAGTGCCTCAGAGAGTCATGCAGGAGAACAGGGACACACTCCCCCATCCAGGCCTTGATAAGGAGAGTCCCCCAGAGCAACCAAGGCAGTTTCCATCCCATAGCCAGGCTCGAACGCTGAACAAAACAGGTCCAGATTCTTTGCTTCTTCCAGGCCGCTCTGTAACTGGAGGAACACCACCTTCTCAACAAGATTTGGTTGGAGGGGAGGCTGAAGGCAGGATGATAGCTGTCCAATGTAGCTGGATCCAGGAAGGTCTCTTCAGGAGGGTCCACACAGTGCTTCGCAACCCTCTGCTGGGCCAACGAAGAGCTCATGCTGGAGAACATCCAAGTTCCCAAGCTGAAGGGAAGCCCAGATCACCTTACAAGAGGCTGTCTCGATCCCCATCTCAAGCGTGCATTCCTCCCAACCCCCAGGGTCTCTGGCCAGAGCGAAGGGTCCCTGTTATTCCCTCAACACCCATTCATTTAAGGAGTATCAATTCTGTATTTGTACCAAATCTATTCAATATTTAGGTATGTGTATACCAAAGGATAGAACTCAGTCAGCAACACGTAATATAAATAAAATATGGAGAGAGGTTTCTTCAGATATCAATAGATGGGAGCCATTAAACCTTACCCTTTGGGAACCGTGAATGCTCTCAAAATGCTCTCAGGCATTTCCCTGCACTGCTAACTCAACGGACTCAAAAAAAGTCCATCTTTACCAGGAAAGCTATCTATCAATGGGTTTTACATGGGCTGGTGATTGAAGTTGTCCTATTGCGCTGTGCCTCATTTGTGGCAAAACAACTTACAAATGCAGCAATGGCTCCAGCAAAATTAAACAGACACTTAACTACAAATCAAGGCCTTATGACCAGTAAAAGTTCTGATTATTTTAAATGAATTATTTTAAATGAAAGTCAATCAAAAATGCCCAAGAAGCAAGTTATTTAACAGCAGAACTTATTATACAGCAAAGGAAAAGTCACACTTTGGGTGAGAAAGTAATCATGGAGTCTTTGGGCTTCTCTGAGGTTGGTTGTAAGATCACTCTGAAGATGTTACCTAGCCGGGTAATGAAACGTTTGCAAGAAAACAACCAACCTCAGAGAACCCCAAGGACTCCACAGTTCAACCCTGAGCTACACTTATTCTCTTCTAAAGTAATCATGCCACCATATAAATAATAGTGTGAAAAATGCTAGGACCAGATGCAGTGTAAGAAATTGAAAAGGTTCCACTATCGAACAGTACAAATCAGTGTATTGATAACATGTCACATGATGCAGAAGAGGTTTTATATGATAAACTGAAGAACAGCAGCTTTTCTATCCAAGTGGATGAGTCAACAGATTTCAAGAATAAATGTCACGCTTTGGCATTTGTAAGATTTGTAAATGAAGGTGACACTTGAGAAAACCTTTTCTGCTACATGAAACATGCAAAGGCCAAGATGTATTTAAAGTTTTGTCTTCATATTTGGAAACAAAAAAAATCTGTCATGGAAGAACTGTGTTGGCATCTGTACTGCTGGTGCTCCATGAGCGGTTTCGTTTCTCATGTAAGAAAAGAAAACTGTGATGTTGTGACAACATACTGCTTTGTTCCCAGAGAGGCATTGGTGTCAAAAACTCTTGGAGATGAAATGAAAAGGTTCTGGATGATGCTACAAAAATGGTTAACTTTATTAAACAAAGACCAGTTCACTCAAGATGTTTAAGAGACTGTGAAAACCTGGACAAAGAGCACACAAGTCTCCTGTTTCACACAGAAATAGGGTGGCTCAGCAGAGGAAGAGTTCCCAACAGGCTGTTTGAGCTGAAGGCAGAACTACAAGAGTATTTTCAAGAAAATAGGATTCCACATTTTGCTGAGTGCTTTGAAGATGGAGAATGGTTGCAGAAACAAGCATACTTCCTTATACTTATTCATTTATTTAAGAACACAGTCTTAGTGTATTTCAATTAGTACTTATCCTTGTTTGTATTGGAAACCACCCAGTCACTCTTTCAGTGAGATGGGCAGTGACTAATTTTGATATAAATAGATGAATAACAAATTAAAAAGTGGGCACCTTTCATCCCATGAAGCAGTCTCTCGAGGCACTGGAGAAAATGCGGTGACTTCAGATGGCAAGATTCTTGGATTTGAAGGAAAACTGCGCGTTTGGAAAAGTCATGCGGTGAAAGGAGACGCTGCACCGGTTCCCCCGCTGCCTGGTCTTGAGAGAGAGGGCGGGCAGCGGAAAGGCTCAAGTCTAACTGAAAACCCCCGAAGTACCGCAGGGCAAAGGGGCCCAGCGCTTTCCCGCCCTTCAGCACAGGCGCGGGCTGGCCGAGGGACCCTCCGCTCAGCCCGAGAGCCTCGCCCTGAGGGAAGAGGAAGG